GAGATCTCACTTAGGGACAAGTCTTCTCCAGAAGAGATCTCACTGAGCTAGTTGTTGTTTGCCACCATTGTGTTGATTTTCAACTCAAAGCAGCACATATGACAAAGTAGAGTTGTTCCACAGGGTTTTCCAGATTGTAATCTTCATAGGACCGGAACTCGGTCCTTCTCCCACACAGCAGCTGGGTTTGAACTGCCAACCTCCAGCTAGCAGCCAAGTGCTTAACCACAGCACCACCAAGGTTCCTCCACTGAGCTAGGGAGGGATTTTAAAATACCAATGACCATCTGCCAACAAGTCTTTAGTAATTATGCCATCTTGAAACTAGAGGATGGGACACATGACTTCAAAATCTCCTTCATTTATAGTTGCAAGGCAATAATTAGTTGTTTTCAAAGTCAACATTTCTAATTACTCAATCAAATTATATCATCTTGCATGTCTGGACTATAAATTATAGTCAGATTTCTTCACAGCAAATAAAAATTTCAATAAACTGCATATTTCATAACTTACAAGTTAGTTCTAACAAGTATCTATCAAGATATGTTGTTGTTCTTACGTGCCGTCGAGTCAACCCCGACTCATAGCGACCCTTCCTTGGGTTTCCAAGGCAGTATCACTACAGAAGTAAGATTGCCCAACCTTCCTTCTGAGGAGTGTTTGAACCACCAGCCTTCTGGTTAGCAGTCAAGTGCCTTAGGCACTATGCTACCAGAGCTCCTATCAAGATATAGATACGTGTATATATACATATATAGTAAGATAATTTTTCACTGTTAAAATGAATGTAAATTTTGCAACTACCATAAAGCTTTCTATATTTGCTGGCAATAAGTATCATCTTCAGACAGAAGAAAAAAATATGAAAGTATGATTTCAAAGGCAGCCTAATTTTAAAATATCAAAACTATGATAAAAATTAGATTTGACAAAAGAACTTGACTCCAAAATCTAAGTTTATCACCTTAGACTCACAGTCAGGACAGGTATTACTTTCACTTAAGTCAGCCTTGGTGCTCAGCTGCTAACTAAAACTTTGGCAATTCGAACCTACTCAGCTGCTCCACAGGACAAAGACCTGGTGATGTGTTTCCATAACAATTTCAGCCAAGAAGCAAGTAATCAACACAGTAAGACTAAGGAGAAGGAAGACACAGAGAGGTGCACAAGAGGTGAAGACAACAAAGATAAACCCTTTTACACATAGAATATTGCATTATCAGTGATAACAACAAACATTAACCTAGAGGTAAATAGAAGGGCAAACAGGCTCAATGGCCAAATATGTCTAGGCAAAAGAGAATATACCCAAGACCATATATAAGGTTGGCAGACAGTATTTCTACATACATATCTGGATGTGCTGTAAGAATGTCCCTATAACTAGAATGGGGGAAAAGTTATGATAACTTCTTAGGCCAATCAAGCACCCTGATGGAGTGAGCTGCTGGACCTGTGGGCTGAGGTCCATGGTCACAGGGGACATCAAGCTCAACTGGCATAACAGTACTACACAAAAACATTGTTCTACATTCTACTTTGGTGAATAGAGACTAGGATCTTAAAAGCTTGCAAGCAGCCATCTAGATGCAACAGTGGGTCTCTCCTTGTCCAGAGCAAAGAAGAATGAAGAAAACCAAAGATGCATGGAAACAATTAGTCCAAAGGACTAGTGGACCATGAGAACCTCAGCCTATATGACCATGAGACCAGAAGGACTAGAGGGTACCTGGCTACCACTCTCAACCACTTAAAAAAGAATCAGTGCAAGAGATCCTAGATAGAGTGGGAGAACAATGTGGAACAAAACTCAAAATCATAAAAAAAAAAGATCAGGATTACTGGTCTGACAGAGCTTGGTGAGATCCCCAAGACTATGGCCCCTAGTTACTCTTCATGTCTGAAATCGAACTCACTCCCCTGGCTTCCACCCAAACAACAGACAGGCATATAAAAGTGATTATTTACATCAGATAGGCACACTCCTTAGAACGAGCAATTGTGGGAGAACACAAGGACAGTATGCGCACAGGGAGATACCTCAGGGGGCAGGAAAGGAGGACACGGGAGAGGTAACAACTACAGGGAGGAAGTGGGAAGAGAGCTGTTACAATACAGGGCATTGCAGTCAATGTCATGAAATAAAATGTGTATGAACTACTGTATGGAAAATGAATTTGCTCTGTAAACTTTCACACTATTAAAAAAAAAAGATTTCAGCCAAGAAACTCCTATGGGGCACTTCTACCATCACTGGGGGTCACTGAGTCAAAAATCAACTCAATAGCACACAACAACATTTGTGAGGTACACAAAAATGTATTGTTTATGACAGCTCATTCAGCCCTGATGATCATTTAAGAATTATAACATCATGAAAACAGATGACAATTGGAGAAGGTGAACTGATAACTTTTCTCCAAACTGCACACTGATCATACAGCAGATATTCTGTTAAAATATAAAATTTTATAGGCCCACAGCACCCATCCTCCATATTCAATGCTTAATGACCCTCTATATGATTCCCTAGGAGTCTTGGTGGCACAGCGGTTAAGCACTTAGCTGCTAACCAAAAGATCATAGGTTCAAATCCATCAGCTGCCCCATAGGAGAAAGATGTGGCAGTCTGCTTCTGTAAAAATTACAGCCTTGAAAACTCCAGCCTTGACGAACTGCCATTAAGTCGGATCCAACTCATAGTGACCCCTCCTTGGGTTTCTGAGGTGGTATCACTATGAAAATAGATTGCCCAACCTTCCTTCCGAGGAGTGGCTCGTGGGTTTGAACCGCCAGCCTTCTAGTTAGCAGTCAAATGCCTTAGGCATTATGCCACCAGAGCTATGAATCAGAATTGACTCAATGACCAGAGGTTTGGTTTGGGTTTTTGAAATAATCCCTTATAGGTGCCAACTAATCCATGTTTTCCTTGCTTTTACTGACCAAGATATGGCTCTCAAGGAAACCCCTTCCATTTCTAAAAAGTCTGACATGAGAAAAATTCTTACATGGAGCCAAGAATATTTATGTTTCTTATTACACAATAAATCTAATTTTATTTCCATTGTGAATCCCTCAAAAATACAGGTAACAACAATCACATCTCTCTCCTCCTCCCAGTTTTTTTTTTATTTTCCAGATAAGCTTCTTGGCAATCCCGTAACTGTTACTTTACTTACACAGCATAATTTTCGTTATCATTTTGCCCTAATAAACACTCTCTACAAGCCTTCCAGGTATGTGATATGATGTGGGGGTTGTATACATTTTTCATTAATTCATCTCTATCAATACCTTTAAGAGAAATATTTGTTCTCAACAGAACTATCTAAAAATTTTAACAAATAAATGTGTAGAACATTTCCTTCAGCTCAAACCTAAAGGTTCACTCATTCAAAATAATGAAAAGGCAGACAGATGTCTCCTTTAAGCAAATATTAACAAGATACAAGAGGCTAAAAAGAAGAACATAAATCTTGCTCTTGAAGATTATACTTTTAGCCATACTATCAACCAAAGAAAGCAGAAGGCAAGCAGGCTATTAAGCTGTTTAAAAATCTCCCAGGTCAGCATGTGACCCAGCAGGGAAAGGTTCCAAAAAAGTACAGCCTTTCTTTTTCTTCCCAGCAACCTGGTTTGTTTCCCCTCCTTTCCCCTTCAAGACATCCCTCACAGCTAGGAGTTCTTTCAATCATTTACTTTGGATGTCTGCTTGAGAACAAATGATCTTGCTCATGCAGATGAGTTTGCCAGACTTGTGTGTACTTTCCAGTCTCAGGCTCTTTATTGTTCTGGTTGAAACCTGATGCTTTGAAATGGATACCAGGACACCAGAAAATGAATTTTAAAAGAAAAGTTTCAGGGAAGGGGGTAAAAAAAACTGTAGGAACTTTTTAAGATCAAACCTTTTCCCCTGTTCTTTGCCTAAATAAATAAGCTTGTATCTTACAAAGCAACAATCTACCCTGAAAAACAGTATCATTAATTATATTATCTGATCTAATATATAAACCTTACGTTTGCCTGAGGAATAGACTGTCAAAACAGATCTCTATCAAAACTTGGATAGAATTCAGATTATTATAATAATCGGTTTTAGACAACATTTTGTATATACTTGATCCAAACAAATCAGATAAAAATATTAAGGTCTTATCTGTAACTTCACAATTAGGGAGAATAAAATTCTATTTAGACCTTTTCAGTTTTAATACAGTTTTGTCATTTCATTAAAAGACAAACGGGCTGATAAAAATAAACCACCCACTGGCCTTGTTTTTGTTTTCCCACAGAAAAGATAGGTTGCTAGCTTGAAAAAAGTTTGTCTCTGAGTGACTGTATTATCAAAACTGAAATTTCCTCTTTCTCTTTATATTTTGGAAAAAAACACAAAAAACTCTGGGGAGTACTCTGTACTTTCTGCTCAGTATTTCTATAAAACTAAAACTGCTCTAAATAAGAAAATCTGTTGATTTAAGAAAAAATAAATTTTTTTAAAAAATTAACAAATCACATCAAACTGCAAGTAAAGTACTTGTTACTTTCTACTTTAAAATACTATAAAATTAGACCCCTTTATTTTGGAATTCTTCTCTACTGATAAATGTTTAAAAAGATACTAGGAATGTGATTCATATTTCATAAGACTACATCAGTGCTTTATTTTACACAATTTGAAAGATTTCACAGTATTCTTGAATTCATTTTTGCACTAATTAAATAGGTTTAGCACAAACTCAACAGTCACACTGTCACAAAAGATAATGAAAATGCTCTGAATCAAAAAATCAATCAAACTTTCAAAAGACTACCAAAGCTAAAGAAGTATGTAGGTAATACCAAAGTGCAGGGGGAAAAAAAATTGTGGAATATATACTGAGCTTGACTTAAATATTAAGTATAAAAACAAATGGTATTTTATATCTCAATACCACTTACTATGTTTTCCAAAACATATTTTTCTTAGATAATGATCTCCTACCATTACTTTTACTTACTTCAAGAAGTATCTCTGACCAGAAGATGTTTTTGCCATTTCCCAGCCTGCTGGCAGAGGTACATCATCAGGTATTTCAAAAGAAGACTGCCGAAGATGTTGGGCAGTGGGTGCAGCTGCTGGGCCAGAGACTACTCCAGTGGGGCTCAGCGTCCCAGGAGAAACTGCTCCCAGCTGCAGGGAAGCTGGAGAGGAATGTGCTCGAACATGCTGTGGAGCCAGGGCTCCTGCAGTTCCTGCATCAGTACTGACCTATTAGGAATATTAAAATAAAAATTTTAAAAAACATAAGTTTTAAAAGAGAGTTCTTTTAAATTTCTGAGATACAGTTTCACTGAAAGCAAATACCTAAGAACCAAAGGCAAATTTCAACATTTAATACTGGACACTGAGGAAAACAGTTTGACAAATGGATACTTTTAGATAAACAGTTTATGTGATTTTTGTGCTAATATACATTTTTACAAATATTAGTAATTTTAGGGAACAGTCCATTTAAGTGAATTTCTACATACTACACTTTAGTCACACCTCTACACTTTTAGAGGCAACTAGTGAAGGACGAATGAAGCATTTCTGAAATAGTAAATAGTGAACTTTAAAACCTAATTTCTAAAAGGCCAAGACAGTATAGAGGCTTTTCCAATTTCTAAAATATTTCAGGTATAAACACAAACAAAGAATATAGTGACTATAATTTCTTTGTCTTAACTGAGCTTTAACTAACATTTTGTTTTTTTGCCAGGCCAAGACCGAAACATGAAATTTGTAATATTTTTCTCATTATGCACAAATGTTATCAACCAATTATCACAAGTTACACAACTTTTAATGAATGTAAAGAATTCAGAATCATTCAAAAGTTCTTAAAGAAAGCCATCTTAATGAATGAAATGAAAAACCAACCATCTTTGTACCTAGATAATAAAGATGTTAACAATTTATGATATAGAACTCATACTGTTACATATTTACAACTGCGTAACAGCAAAAAAACAAAACAAAATTCTGCATTCAGATCCCAAAGACAGGGTTCTCATCCAAGCTCTTGAAAGCTGTTGGTTAGTATAACTCTGAAAAAAATATCTTAATATCTGTGAGCCTCAGTTTCTTCATCTGTAAAATAGGTTTTTTTCATGATATACAGGAGCCCCAGTAATAGTGGTTAGATGTTGCCTGCTAACCAAAAGGTCAGCCTTTAGAAACCACCAGCCACTCTGCATCAGAAAGATGGAGCAGTCAGCTTCTGTAAAGATTACAGCCTTGGAAACCCTAAGGAGGCAGTTCTACTCTGTCCTATTATAGGGTCGCTACCCAACAGCCACTCCTCGGAAGGAAGGTTGGGCAATCCTACTTCCGTAGTGATACTGCCTCGGAAACCCAAGGAGGGGTCGCTATGAGTCGGGGCCGACTCGATGGCAAACAACAACAACAACAACATGAGTCCTAATCATCTTGAAGGCAATGGATTGGGTTTGGTACACACACACATATACATATACATATACATATACATATACATATACATATACATGAGCTCTGGTAGCATAGTGCCTAAGGACTTGACTGCTAACCAGAAGGCTGGCGGTCCATACCCACCAGCCACTCCTCAGAAGGAAGGTTGGGCAATCTACTTCCATGGTGATACTGCCTCAGAAACGCAAGGAGGAGTTGCTATGAGTTGGGGCCGACTTGACGGCACATAACAACAACAACAACATATGTATATATTATATATAATAGATATATACATTTATTTACATCCAATAGCTTGTCAACAAAAGTATTTACAACCAACCCCACTGCCATCAGACTGAATCCCAACTCATAGTGAACCCCATTGGGTTTCCAAAATTGTAAATCTTTACAGAAGTAGATTGCCTCATCTTCCTTCCTTGGAGCAGCTGGTGGGTTTGAACCACTGACCTGGTAAGCAGACAAATGTCTTACGCACTACACCATCAGAGCTCCTTTAGTATTTACAACAGATGCATACTATTCAAAATTGTGTACAGTTTAAAAAAAAAAATCCATTGATTGAATTAAGGGTTTGATTATCAAAAAGAATTTCCCAGATTCATATGGGCAACAAAGGGAGACCATCCACAAACTACTGGATATACATTCTTGTGTAAGCACTTATTAGAAGTACACTTTAAAAATTGTGATTCTTTTTGGTTTACAGATGCTACAAAATGGGGAATTCAATCTCCTATGTGCATTATAATATGTAAATAAAAGCACAGCTGTGAACTCTGTAGGGTGCATGCCTATACATTTTATCCTTAATGAGTCCAGAGCTCACCTCCAGGGGTAAGAGAAAAAAAGTCTTTCTAAGTCTACCTCTTACAAATTAAGTATTTAGCTGAATTGTTTTCTCCTCATTGTTCTTATAGCAGGTTTTTGTCAGTAGGTTAAATGAGATTTTCTGAGTTTCAAAACACCCTCAGTTTGCCCACAAGAACATATACAGGCCTGCATATAGGAGGGGGAACGAGAGAGTGGGGGTGGTAACTCTTCTTTGCACTCAAGTTACAGTTTAGACTAACTAAACTGCAGGATTTGAAAAACCAATTAACTTTTGGGCAAAGTTCCTATGCTGCAGTTTAGCCTAAAGCAACTTCTTAAAAAAAAAAAAAAAAAAAAAAGGCAAAAACACCTATAAAGGCCTTTACTAAACAAAAATCTACTGGGATCTACTGGAATGTTAACACTTTCATAATAGTTTCACTACAACATTAAGTCAAGTTGACAAAACAGTCAACGTTTTGCATGTGGAAAAGCAGCCATGTTCACATCCTCAGTAAGAAAAAGCAATGGCGATCCTAGAATTAGTCATCGCTTCCCAAACATTAAATTTTAATCACAGTTGAACTAGGCAGGACTCGGCCTATGAGTCAACCTGCAGCGTATTATCAAAAGGCTGTGTGTTAAAACTTAAGTACTTTAAAGCGCAACTCAGTTCCTGCGCAACGTGCAGATGTGGCTAATTTAAAAGCGTTTCAGCAGACTGTAAATAATAGACTACAATTGGGAAACCAACACGTGAGCCCATGAAGTTTGCTAACAGGGAGCCTGCCCAAGTTCCAAGCGCAAGGGAAGTGCAGAGGTGAAAGAACGAACTCCATAAACAACTTCCAGGAAAGTCTGGGCAGGGAAAACCCGGATCCGGTGTTTCGAAAGGGCCGAGGCAGCGAGGAAAATAAATGCTTTCGACCGAGGGAGGGGAAGAAAGAGCAAGAAAAGGAAAAGGACTGCTTCCACCCCCACCCCGTAATCAACACTGGAAAACAAGAGAACAATTATTTGACTCCCCAGGAGACTGAAGAACACCGAGAGGCCCCGAAGGAAAGGGGGCCCAGAGCTCAACTTCACAAACTCGGCCGCTGCTGGCAACTCACCCACACAAATGCCAAAGGCCCCCCTCCCCCTCCCCAGGCCGCGGCGGGAGCGAAGGTGCGGAGCGCGCGGAGGCGCGCGCATTGTGCAAGCCCACCGCGGCTCGGGCGGACTCTCCCCACCCCCTTCCTTCCTCCCCACCACCCCCTCCACTCCCGCCAACCTCCTGGGAACCCCGGGAAGAAAGAAAGAAAGGAAGAGGGAAAGCACACCCCCCGGGGCTGCAACCGCAGAAACTCCAAGGGGAAAAACAAATCTCGGCTCCGGACTCCGGGAGGAGTGGGGAGCCGATTAACGCAATCGAGCGGGCGCCTCCACTTCCTCCAACTCAACCTGGATACCCCCACCCTTCGCCAGGGTTCCCGGAACCCCCACCCCGATCTGGGGCCCGACCGACGGGGAAGGGAGTAGGTTACCTGTCGGGAGTGGGATTTGGGCTCCGGCGGCTTAAAGAAGGAATCCGGCAGCTTCCGGAGCCTCATGGGCACAGTCGGGGGCACGTTGGCCGTCTTGGGGTTCATGACGGCGTTGAAGAGCGCCTCCAGGTCGGTCTCCGAGTCCCCCCGGACGTGCACTATTTGATGCCCGGCTGGGGGGGCCTGCGGCGCCGCCTGGGAGCCCGGGGGCGCCTGCTGCCCGGTCCGGGACGGCGGGTCCTGCCCCTGGGGGGGCTGCGTGGGCGGCTGCCCTTGGCCCTGGGGGACCGGCTGAGGCGGCGGTTGCTGCCCGGGATCCATGGCTTCTGCCTCTCCCGACGCGCACCCCTTAACCAGGCGCGCGAGGGCTCCGCCCGGGCGCCCCGGCTCGACGGGCCGAGACTGGAGAAGAGGTGAGGGCGGCGCTGGGCGTCGGGAGCGGCGCTTTCCTCGCTCTTAGGGCCGAGGGGCTGCGCCGCGGTCCCGCATCCCCCGCCCCGGCGCCTCCGCCCCCGCCCTGCGCCCCGGCTCCACTGGTCTGGCGGCTGCGCCTCGGGAGGGGCTGAGAGAGACCCGGACCTGCGGCGCCGGAGAACTTTTTCCTTCAACTCCCTTGACGGAGGCAGGACAACTAGTTGCCTTTCCCCTCCCCCTTTCTCTTTTATTTCCTTTTCTTGTTCTTTCCTTCCTTCCTTTTTCCCGGCGGCAGTAGTGCCGGACTAAGACAGAAACTTGCTTCAGACTCCAAAACTGTAGTTGAGAGAACTGCCCGCCCGAGCCGCTCGCCGGCTCCGCCTCCTCCCGGCTCTTCCTTCCTCTGCGCGCCCGCCCGCACTGAATCCGCGGCCGGCCGCGGAGGCAAACTTTTTTCCTGCAAAGTTTACTACATTCCTGCAAACTCCCAGCCTCCAGTGCCTCTCCCGGCCGCACGTGACCAACTCGCCCTCAATCCAGTTCTCCTCTGTGCTTCAAAGGCAGTGGCCGCAAGGGTGTCTGGACCTCCGCGCCGCGAGGACGGCCGGAATACTTTGGGTACAATCTGGGTCCGAACTCTTGTCTTTAAGAGAACGCGGCCGACCTTGGCAGCAGGAAGTCCTCCTTCCTCACCCGGGTCGACCCCGCCAGTCCTCGGGAAAAGCATCCTTCCAACTCTCCAGGACACGCGAAATGGCTAAAATAGAAAGAAGTCTAGGGAAGACGTGAAAATCCACTTAAAACCTCCCCGCGTTAGCTCGGCTTAACAAGCAGTAGTGCCACAATGGGGTTAAAGTAGCAAGAACGGTTGGGGTTCCAGTAGATACTAGTAACTGGCACCCATCTTAACAAAGGTCCGTTTCCTAACATTAACTTGATTTTGTGTTTTTTCACTCACCTCTTAGCATGCAAAAAAAGGATAAACGATTACAGTATTCAGATAATTTGAGGGTGGATCTATGATTCAGTGTAACTTTAAAAAGTTGCCTGTCGTCCTGTCCAGTGAATTAAGATGCACGGGTTTTTTGTACTTCTTTAAACATCAACTTTTGTAGCATTCAAACTTGCAACATATTACAGAAAAGCTCAAAGTAAAAAATCAATTACAATTATAAAGTTACAAACAATTCTCTGTGTACCTGCCTTTCATTCTAGAGGAGCTGTTGTCTTCTCCCTTTGTTATCCCAGTTCCTGGCACAACAGTGGACTCCATGAATGTTGACTGAAATGAATGGGTGAGGAGGCCATGGCAGGCACCTGGACTTCCTCAATGTGGGTGTATCATATATGCTTGGAGTTCACTTGAAATCACTCAAAATGATTTGGAATTTGGTTTTTTTTTTTTTTTTAATTCAAAACATTACTCTGATTTTAAAAAACAGATATATAATTCACATATAAAATGCATCCATTTCAGCAATATACTGTTTTATAGTAAATTCATGAGGTTGTGCAACATGACTCTGATTTTAAACTGCTAAACCATTCTAAAGAAATCTAGCTTCTTGTTTTAATGACTGTATGCAATTCTAGTAAGGAACCAAAATCACTGCACTTGAGTCGATTCCCATTCATAGTAACCCTAAAGGACAGAACAGAACTTCCACATAAGCTTTCCAAGGCTGTAAATCTTTACTGAAGTCCCACCGGTGAGTTCCAATAGCCAGTCCTTTTGGTTCGCAGCCAAGTACTTTAACCAGTGTGCCACCAAAGCTCCTACAATGCTAGTGAAAACAAGTGTGTAAATAGGATTAAGCAAGAAAAAGGGTCCCTGAGCAAAAAGATTCTTCTTCCAGCCAGAACTTGCTCAAGGGAATGTTGAGTGGGGACCTGTATCTTTTGGTGTGGTAGGGTGGGACTAGCGGATGAGGTATGGATACTCAAGATTCTACCCGCTGCATGACTACTTACTTTAAAAATGTAATCAGTGTACATGATGCCCACAATCCCTTCTTGGATTTAGTGCTCCACCCTCATACCCCCAAAATGTCAAACGTCAGGTGCATTTAAGCACAAATTTGTAGGCTCTAGAGTTAGAGATTTGAGTTGTTTAGGTCCCGGTTCTACCATTTACTAGCTGTGAGACATTGAACAAATTGTGTTGTTGTTGTTGTTGTTATGTGCCGTCGAGGCGGACCCGACTCATAGCGACCCCTCCTTGGGTTTCTGAGGCAGTATCACTATGGAAGTAGATTGCCCCATCTTCCTTCCTATTGAACAAATTAATTATCTTTAACATGGCCTTTAAAAAAAATGAAACAGTCTTTATACAAAAACCTACCATTATCCTGGATCATTTTCATTGTCCATGTAGATCATTCTCTCAAAACACTAGTTTTGCAACAATTTTATCTCTCAACAACAACGGATCCTCACCTGCACTCCACATTAGGTTGTTGAGGAATTAGCACCCAAGGCCCTTGACTGCTAACCAGAAGGCTAGTGGTTCAAACCCACCAGCCCCTCCTCGGAAGAAAGATTGGCCAATCTACTTCCGTAGTGGTACTGGCTCAGAAACCCAAGGAGGGGTCGCTATGAGTTGTTTTTTTGTTGTTGTTTTTGTTTTTGGAGTGGACATAAAGTATTCAGCCCCAGTGTTTGGCATATGATGAGTTCTGTAGGTCAACTATCATTGTTCACATACTACTTCACAGGTAGTGACATGACCTCTCCTGTGCAACAGCTCCCCTTTCTAACAGCCTCGGGGACTTTGTTAGCAGTCCCTTCCTCTCACAACCAATCATCAACCCACACAAACAAAGCCTTTGGGTAGAAACTATGCATTATACTGAAAACTTTGAAAGAACCAATGTGATTGAAAACCTGGGACTGTAATGGAAGCTGTCCCTTAATGAGAGCATTTATTACTATGAACATTGTAATTAAAGGGCTTAGGGTACAGCAGTGGTTGCTTTGTTCAATATTACTTCACCTGACATTAAACTGAGAACAAAATTGCCTTGAAAAGTGGATTGGAAGGCTGTTTGGAGTGATTTTAGGTTCTGTAAATGGCTCTATATCATCTACTAAGATTTTGTAATTTACTATTTCTCATCTCTGGACGGAAGGTTGGACAATCTACTTCCGTAGTGATACTGCCTCGGCAACCCAAGGAGGGGTCACTATGAGTTGGGTCCGACTTGACGGCACATAACAACAACAACATTTCTCATCTATAAAATTTTAATCACAGGTTAGAATGGATAAAGATAACATGTATTCAATCCTCTGTGCTTTCCCATTCCCACCTCCCTTTTGGAACAATTATCAGCTTAAGGCACCTCGAAATGGGGAGTCACTTTCTTTATACAAAGACCCACCATTATCCTGGATCATTTTTATTGTCCATGTAGATGACCGTCTCAAAAACACTACTTTTGCAACTATTTGGCCTCTCAACTAAGCCCCATTCCACTTTAGCCACCTAATCACTCACTCCTGTATCCACTCCCTGTCATCCAGCTGTTGTCATTGTTGTTATATGCCATCGAGTCAGACCCAACTCAGTGACGCCTTAAATCAAGCCATCTTATACCATTCTCACACTGCATTCATTGCTCCTTCTTCTACCAATCTATCACTCCCTCCTGTTTTCCTTTCCTTCCCAACTGAGTTTAGAGTACATAATCTATTGCTTCACCCTCTCACAATCATCATCCTTGCTCTCAACTGAACTAGATTAATCCAGTCATTTGTTTACACTCTAACACCTTGCCCTTTTGCTTTTGTGCACTTTTGCCTGGGTCCCACATTAATTCAATGTTCCAATCAAAGCTTTTGACATTTCATCTAACTGAAGTTATACTGTCATCCTGAAGATATACCTACATGGCTATAAGAAGACATTCACTATAGAACTCTAAACGTTGTCCCATTACCAAATGACACTGTGAATTAATATTTTAAGTAAATTCTACAATTATCTGGTGAGTAGCACAATTCTAACAGAATGTGGAAAGTATCAAACAATATCATTAATACCACACAAGTAAAATTTTGCTGAACAAAATTGAAACAGTTGCACCAGTACATTGACAGGTAACTTCCAGAACAAGGGATATCACTGCTGATGTTAGATGGATTCTCACTGAAAGCAGAAAATACCAGAAAGATGTTTATCTGTATTTTATTAACTACGCAAAGGCATTGGACTATGTAGATCATACCAAATAATGCATAACATTGTGAAGAATGAGAATCCAAAACAGTTAACTGTGCTCATGTGGAACCTGTACGTAGACTGAGAGGCAGTCATTCAAACAGAACAAGAGGGTACTGCGTGGCTTAAAATCAAGAAAAGTGTGCATCGTGGTTGTATCCTTTCACCCTATGTATTCAATCTGTATGCTAAGCAAATAATTGGAAAAGCTGGACTATATAAAGAAGAATATAATATCAGGACTGGAGAAAGACTCATTAGCAATCTGTGATATGCAAATAACACAATCTTGCTTACTAAAAGTGAAGTCTTGAAGCACTTACTGAAGATCAAAGACTACAGCCTTAAGTATGGATTACACTCCAACATAAAGAAAATAAAAACCCTCACAACTGGGCCAATAAGCAGCATAATGAAAAAAGGAGAAAATATTGAAGTTGTCAAGTATTTCATTTCATTTGAGTGTACAATCATTGCCCATGGAAGGATCAGTCAAGAAATCACATGATATTTGCATTGGGCCAATCTGCTGCAAAAGAGCTCTTTAAAATGTTCAAAAGGATTGTTGTAATTTTGAAGACTAAAGTACAGCTGACCTAAGCCATGGTATTTTCAATCACCTCGTATGCATGTGAAAGCTGGACTATAAGGAAGACCGAAGAGTTGATACCTTTGAGTTATGGTATTGGCAAAGAATATTAAGTATACCATGGATTACCAAAAGAATGAACAAATCTGTCTTGGAAGAAGTACAACCAGAATCCTCCTTAGAAAGGAGGATGGGGAGACTTTGTCTCACATACCATGGACCTGTTATCAGTAGGGACCAGTCCCTGGAGAAGGACATCATGCTTGGTAATGTAGAGGGTCAGAGGAAAAACAGGAAGACCCTCAACAAGATGGCTTGACACAGTGGCTGCCACAGTAGGCTCAAGCACAGCAAAGATTGTGAGGATGGTGCAGGATCGTGGTAGTGTTTTGTTTTGT